TTTATTAGGGTTGAAAAAAAAAAAAACATGGTTTTTGATTTTATAGTTATTGAAATGGGGGATAACTATCAAAACAATAAAAAAACTTTTCTGAAAGGGGGTAAAAAGGGAGAGAGGGAGGGAAGTCGATAAAAAAAGGGATTATGACGAGTAAGAAAGGAGAGGGGAGGGAAAAAAAAAGTTAAAAATAAATTATTATTATTATTATTCGGTTGGATTTTTTGGCAGAGTGAGTAAAAAAAAAATGTTTTATCAAACATTTTCTTATCCTTTGGAATGATTTTTTTTTTTTTTTTGCAAATTCTGCTTCCTGTCATTTTTTTTTTGTCTGATAGATAATAAATTATTGATTTTAATCTCGTTAAAAAAAAAAAAATGTGTTATTGAATGCGGTCACATAGACAAACAAAGATGATGATGATGACAACAACCGAAAAATAAAAATTTATTGTTTAACTTATCTTACTTTTACCCAACAGTTTTTTTTTTAAACGATAAAAATTTTTTAATATTTTTATGTGTTTTTCAACGAAAAACACTTTTTTTATTTAAATAATAATAATAATCGTTTGTTTAATTGTTTGAAACAATTGAAATGTGTTAGGAAATCCTTAAAGTTCCTATTTGTCAGAGATTTAAAAAATCATCATTATTATTTTATAAGAAAACGTAATTTGTTTTAGGTGTACCTCCGGAAGAAGAAGGACCTTTACCTGTTATTGTTTACGTACATGGAGAATCATACGAATGGAATTCTGGTAATCCTTACGATGGTTCAGTATTGGCAGCTTATGGAAATGTTATTGTTGTTACTATTAATTACAGACTTGGCATTTTGGGTAAGTTAATCTTCTCTATCCGTCCTCCGTCCGCCCCCCCCCACTTCTCCGTTTTCTAAATCCGTAAAATTTAACGACCTCTTTTTTTTTTTAATTAAAATTTAAAAACAAAAAAAAAAACAATTTTTGTGATAAAACGAATCAAGAGTTATGCTTTAAAAAAGAAAAAAAAAAAAATTTAATTTTTTAGGAAACGTATTGGATTAAATTTTTTTTTGTTTTTTGATTGATTCATTATTTTTTTCTCGTTTAATTTAAAAAAAAAAAGAAAAAAAGAAAAATTCATCGTTAGGTTTTTTTTTATTTTTGAGTTTTTGACGTATAACAAAAAAAAAATTGATGTGGATCAAAATTAATAATTACATTTCAAAAAAAAAAAAAATTTTATTTTTGATAAGCTTCATTAAAGTTAAAAAAAAAAAAAGCAACACTTAGTTTTTCTTTTTTTAAAAAGTTAAAAAAAATAAGGTTCGATTATTGGTTTATTATTATTAATTTAAAACCTTTTTTTTTTCTTTTAAATAAAAACGTATTAATAATTTTTTTTTTTTTTCAAAAGTGATTACGATGTTAATAATAATAAAAAAAAAGAAAAAAAAATTTTCTTTTTTTTTTTTATTATTACAATAAAAATGTTTTTAATTAAACTTTCCATAATAATTCCCTTTCCTTATTTTTCCTTTCCTTTTATTTTTTCCTTTAAACGTAATAAACTTTTCGAATGTTTTTTCTTTTTTTTTTTTTTCATTTAATATTTTACATTTAATTTTTTTAATTATGAAAATAATTTCAAAATGAAAATGAGTAAATTTTTCATTTAAAAAAAAAAAAACTTTTTTTTTTAATGAAAAAAGTTTTTTTTTTTAAATAGCGAACAAAATGTAAACAAACAAACAACACGAGTTCGGATTCCATTTAAAATTTAAATACTCCTCCTACTTTCACACGATCTCGCCTCTGATTGGTTGAAAATTTTCTTTTTTTTTTTTAAAGCGAAGTACTTGACGAAAATAAACGAACGTTACACCGATTATTAATTTATAACGATTAATTATTT